GGGGGAGGAAAGGGGGTTAAAAGGAGATCCGGGACCCAGGGATGGGGGAGGGGAAGTGGTTGGTCGACCGCCGCTCTCGGGCTCGAGAGAGTTTTAAAGTTTGTTGCCGAAGTACTACTTCATTTTCGGAACTAAAGCCTTTTAAATAAGCTGTTTGCGGAAGGACTCGATTGGATGCTCGGGGCGGCGGCCGCAGGCTGGTGGCCTCGTGTAACCGGCCAAGGGGTGCGGAGGGGGAGAGCGGGAATATTCTTTATCTCCCCTCTCAAAACCAGAGCCTATAAGACTGGACATATCGGGTCATCTGACCAACTTTTTCTCTATATCTCTTTCCCGAATTTTCTCCATATATCCCCCCTTTTCTCTCGCACTCATTCAAGCCTGCCTGCCCCTCTCTCTCTCAATGTTTCTTTTTTGCACCATCTGGGAGGCAGCTTGCTCTGCTCGGCGGCGGATCGAGTTTGACGGTTTGCGTCGCGCGAAGGAGCACTCGCCATCTGGGGACCGCGCGGCCTGATTGGGGACACGCACTGCAGGGTGTGCCCAGTGACCCGGCACTGATCTCGTCGTATTAGCAGCTCGGCGTGTGTGAGAGCGAGAGCGATTGAGCAGTGCGAGCGTGTGTGTGTGGGGGGGGGGGGGGGGGGGGGGGGGGGGAGGGGGGGCAAGAAAGCGGGAGAAAAAACATGACTCGTCCAATTCAGTGGCTTTCGGCCGGGCCCGGGTCGGGCCAGCACCAGCGGCTGCTAGACGCGCCTACGGGCCTCTCGGCCAATTTGGAACTCCTTTTTATCCACGCGTCGTGTAGTTCTGCTCGGTCGGGCCTGTTCGGGCTTAACGGTGGGCCGGGCCGGGCCGAGGCGCGGGTCTCGACCTTTGGCGGCGAAAGTTTTCAGGTGGAGGTTAAGACGAGCTGGCGGCACGCAGCCCGCGCTGCCGGTGGTGGTGCGCCCGCCCGGGCACGTCGGTGACCCGTACATGCGGCCCTGATCGGCCCTGATGGGCGACTTCACGGCACCGCACCGCCAACTCGGTGGGCTGCGAATGGCGTCCTCCTGGATGCGGTGGCGGCGGTGGCGGTGCTACTACGGTCGCGTGCGGGGGGGAGAGGTGCAGCCCCAGCCCGGCCTACTGCTGCCTGCCACAGGGCCCGGGCGGCAATAGTCGGCAAATGGATTACTTGAGGGCGCACGGTAACTTGGGGGCCCCGGCCACCCTGGCAGTGGGCTGGCGCGGTCCGAGACTCAAGCAGACAAGCTGTTCATTAGGAGCACCACCGCGGGGGCAAAGTCCGTCTGGGTCACCTCACCTAGCCGGGGAGGCCGGGCCGGACTGGATGTAACTCGCCCGCCCCGCCCCGCCCGTCCCGCCCGTCCCGCCACCGTATCTGCTGCGTCTCTTTCCATCCCTTGCTGACCGCACCGACCCGTCCGCAGGCGACGTGACATGGAGACGAGCACCCGTGACCTTTCGCCACTCACTTGCGCCCTATGCCCTGACCTGACGACGGAGGACCTGACCTACAGGTCCCGGCGACCCGTGGTGCGCCTGCCGCCGCGCCTGCCCAGCCTGCGCGAGCACGTGACCGAGAGGCCCAGGACCGCCCCCGCCGCGTCCTCCAAGGCCGTGCACGTCGACTGGCGCGCGGGGGATCAGGACGAGGAAGAGGCGGACGAGGAGGAGGTGGAGGCGGAGGAATCCGAGCCTGATGAGGATCCGTCGCCGGCGGAGCGGGTGGAGCAGCCCGGGGACCTGGGGGGAGGAGGGCCGGAGCGGAGGACGGGGACCACGGGGGCGCGGCCGCACCCGCAGG